TACAGCTCGGGAGAACATCGTCGTAGGTAATAAGACGCGACTGTTTATATACTAGTGTAGGTTCAAACGCGTTACGTTTCGAGTAAATACCGTGAGACACTATGAAAAAGACTTCGCGTAATTAAAATCATTAGAATATGATCGAACGATTGCATCGTTTCGTGTGTGCTTCATTCGGTTGGACGCGTGTAAGAGAGAAAGTCTCGTAGACACCGGCCATCTTTCTCTCAAAGGAGTCCATTATCAGTGCCTTACTTTCTACAAGAAAGGAATCGCCTCTGCCGGTTTTTACAGGTAAATTTTGTTGCAAACGAACTTGCCGATTTCTCGAATCATTAGCCATTTCATTCGCGAGGAATTTGCGCGGCGAGAGATTTCGCTGGGTGAACAGAAATCGGTTTCCGCCTGTGGGAAAAAACGTTATTTACAGGCATCGCGTGGAAATTACGCAATCGGGTATGCTTATTAAATAGCGCTTGAAATTTTACATCGGTAACGAGTCGAAACGACGATTACGAAACCGTCGTACTCTCGGCAACGCGTGCCTATCGTTGCGGATCCTTTTAACCAGGAAACTTTTCACCCTTCCACACTGTCGCTTTGCTCGCGAAATCGTTACGCCTGCTCGTGGTTCGCCGCTTTTCCAAACGCCGCTAACTTTTAGCCGCGTCGTTGGACCCCGGTTTTTAAAGTTGTCGCCTCTGTCCAACAGCTGCCCGCCTCTGCTCACCTTGGTCACAATATTTGCTCGTTGTCCTACGCGCGATATCCATTCAAATTCATGCACCCTGCGCGCAAATTCGACGGCCGGATTAAAAGCGGGCCATGCTCGCTTTAAATATCGAAATTGTCAACCGTGACTGACGTTCGTGTAGCTCGTGCCAGAAGTGTATGTAGGGTGCTCGTAAATTCCGTGGATTTCGAAGTACCAGTGTTTCTTCCGAAGGTAACCCGAACTTCGTGGTGCCCGGTTCTACGTGTCTTTCATGGACACCCTCTATAATTTCGTAGAGCTGAGACAGTCTTAACGATATTCTTCGCAAAGTATTTTCTTTTTCCAAATAATCCATGGACTTTATTTATAAATACGATGGGTGATATACGTCGTTTGAAAAATTTTATTTTTTAGTTGCAAGTGCATATGTACAGTGCGAATTTTTAAACTCGATTTTCTCAAAAAATTGAGCTCCGAATGAAGGGAAGTTATTTTATATGTTTTTCATATTTTTCTATGGGAAACCACCCTCGTGGTGCCCGGTTATATATGTCTTTCGTGGATAACCTGAATACACACTGTAATACATCCTGTAATACACCCTGAATATACTCTGTATACACCCTGTAATATACCATGTATACACCTTGAATACACTCTGTAATACATCCTGTAATACGCTCTGTAATATACCCTGTATACACCTTGTAATACACACTGTATTACACCCTGAATATACCCTGTATACACCCTGTAATATACCATATATACACCTTGAATACACTCTGTAATACACCCTGAATACACCCTGTACGTTGAGTTCGCTGGTTCGCCATCGTGGGTTCGCGATCTCTGGTCACTCTGTGTGTCATGAAAAATTGAACTGTCCGATGGTCTGTTTAACGAAAGGATCGTTAACGATTGCGTATTTGTGTTGCTCGAGCCGGTTTTCGTGACGCGGGAGTTCCGTGTCTGGTGATTCTTTAACGAGCCGCGAACCAACGCCATCGCCGGCTGTTCCTCTTGCGCTTTTCCCGTCGCCTCTTCCCATCACCGCAATGAAATCGAAACGACGAATCGCGCGCACAGCCCGCTGGTCACCCTTCGTCTACGAATCACCCTGGTAAATTATTAACGTCGCGTGTCCACCGCTCCAGTATCGATTCGTCTCCTGTCCGCTTCTTCCTCCTCCCGACCTTTCTCCCATTTCGTCTTTTCAATTTCCACGCCGAGCTAATCGTGCAAATTATGGCTCCACACGGCGGAAATTTTCACAGGAATCACTCCGTTAGTCACGTGCCAAAGTTTCAGTGCTTTTCTTCGGACTTGCGCTGGAATTATTTTAAATCGGAATACTTTCCCGCCATTTTGTCGACCCCTATATACGCGAATTTCTTTCACTCGTCTGTGGCCTACTGCCAGTAAAGTTTGCTAAGGTTCGTCAGGGTTCTGTGCAAATCTTCGCGAATATTCCCGAACTTCGATTTTTAATCATTTCTTTCATCGTTGACAAATTCTCTTTAAGTTCATACGGTTAATTGTTCATACGATTATGCGATATAAATTTCGATTTGTCATCTCGTGGAGTTTACTCATTGGACAAACGAGCGGTTGCAATATTTTTCGCAGCGAAAGGGTTAAAAAAGGGAAAAGTTTAAACAGGCGATGCCGCTTTGGATTCCCGTGGCCATTGGCTGTTTCGCAGCCAAAGGGGGCTAATTCCTCAGAGACGCGTGGAATTCGGTGTGCCAGCGCGAGAGATCTGGCGGTGCCCCGATTGCCAGGATTGCGAGATTTTTCCGGTTTATCGCCGGTAATATGATGCTCGCGGCGGTCGGAAGGAAGCAATTTCGAGTCCCTAATTGCGCCATGAATCTCGGCGACTCGGGGACTCGCGCGCTTCAAAGATTCCGTGGCACGTGCAAAGGAAATATCGTTTGCCCTGCTCGAATTAATAGCGCCGGCCGCGGTATAAATGCTTCCGGGGTGACTCGGATTCGCGCTTTCGAACCAGTTTCCCGCGTCGAATTTCCTTTTCGCTCCTTTGATCGTCGCGTGAAAACCCGCTGCCTCTCCTTCGCAAACTTGCTTACGGCACTCGCCAAATTCTTCCTTCTTTTGCCAAACTTTGCATCGCCGCGAAACCAATGGGTGCAGAATCTTCGAGGAATCTGCTTGCATATAACTCAAAGTATGACCCGAAACTCGCGAATAATTGTTCGAGGTAGACTCGCATTTTACAAGTTTCCCGCGATCAATTTTGTTTCCGATTTCTTTCATCATTGTACGAAAATTGACTGGCTTCCTTTTTCAATCTGACGTTATTTAGCACATTTTGCTGTCAGGGTTCTCTACCTCGTGGCGTTCACATCGTGTATTGGAATGCTACGAGGCGAGGAATTTTCTTGAAATCTAGTTGGATATCGTCGATTATATTTTATTCTTTTATCAATTAATGCTATTTTACATTCAAAGATAAATTCGAGAAGAGAAGCTAAAATGTTGATACGAATTCTCTTGTCTGCACGTTTCTCTTCTCTTATATTCCATCGGGGTCCTCTAGACCAAAAACACGGACTCCAGGGGGCACTCGATCAAGGATCGATACCTGTTCCGACCGCCACCAAGTGGCGACCACAGATATCGAAGTTCTTTCATAATTGTACGAAAATTTACTGGCTTCCTTTTTCATCCTGACGTTATTTATAAAATTTAGCACATTTTTCTGTCAGGGTTCTCTACCTCGTGGCGTTCACATCCTGTATTAAAATGCTATGAGTCGAGGAATTTTCTTGAAATCTGGTTGCATATCGTCGATTATATTTTATTATTCTATTAATTAATGCTATTTTACATTCAAAGATAAATTTGAGAAGAGAAGCTAAAATGCTGATACGAATTCTCTTGTCTGCACGTTTGTCTTCTCTTATATTCCATCGGGGTCCCCTAGACCAAAAACACGGACTCCAGAGGACACTCGATCAAGGATCGATACCTGTTCCGACCGCCATCAAATGGCGACCACAGGTATCGAAGTAAATTCAAGGGTAGCTGTTGTATCAATTTTTCCATTTCAACATATACCGTTGAAAGTACAGTCCGAACCTGTTACGATTAGGTAATTGCTCGAGGTAGACTCTCGTCTTAGAACCAGTTTTCCGTGTTGAATTTTCTTTTGATTTCTTCGATCATTCTATGATCCTGACCTTGATATCAAATTTTTCTTATTACAATTGAGAATTTTCTCGATCGTGTTTACCGAGTATTAGAACCATTATGCTGCAGAGGATCATCTCTTGTGCACTTTTAAGAACACAACTTGAATCTTTTTCGACTAAAAATTAGTTAGTCGTTATTCGCTCGTATTTTTGAAGGAAACTCCCCTAAATTTTGACGAATTTTTCTTTTTCGAGTTTCTTCGATCGTCGCGCGAGAAAATCTTCCGTTTTCCGATCTCGGCTGCACACTCGCGTGTCAAACTTTTCTTACCAAAGTTCCCTTTGCGACCCCTACCACCCCTTCGCGTATCTCAGGACACGTACGCGAGCATCATCCCCCGTTGCATACGGTTGAAAGTACACAACGCGAACCTGTTACGCGTCTAACTGTCCAAGGTCGACGAACGCGGAGAGCAAGTTTGGGTGTAGTTCCGGTCGTTGGATCGCGAACGTGTCCGAGTTATATCGGTTTCCCATGCTCTCCACGTCATTAAACCGACCGAGCCGATTTAACGGACAATGAATTACACGGCGTTCAGCCCCCGCAAACAAACGGTTACGCGAATACGAAGCATGTTTATAGGTTTATTACGAATTGCGGTCCGCGTCGTCGCTGTTGTTTCCGGAATGCGTGCGTGGCTGAAAATCGAGGGGAAACTTGGTTTCCCTTGGCTCTAGGGGGTGAATTCGAGCACGCGACGTAATACCTCTGGCCTGGAAACCGGCTCGCCAGCTCGGCTTCGTTATTTCGGATAACGCGATCGAGTATCAAATCGAATTAGCGAAATTATCCCTGCGCTCGTTTGGAAATTTTAATAATTTCTGCGGATTTTTAACGAGTTTTTTCACGGTGAATTCGGGACACGATGCGACGTTAAATACGTCTGCTCTCGAATCGCTTTGCCAGCTTTATTTCGTTATTGCAGGGAACGTAATCGACTATAGAATCGAATTAACGAAATTATTTCTGCGTTCGAGGTTTGGAGATTTAAATACTTTTAACTTTAAGCGACGTTTAACGAGTATTGCTTTCGGCGCTAAATGGTTGCTCGATGCTTTTGTTGCAGAAATAATGAAGAGAGAAGCTGATCCAGGCGCTATGACAGGTTCCGGAGGACCGACGAGTCCTCACAAGCGTTACAGACAGGGTGACGATGAACTTCGTCTTCTGATCCCCAGCAAGGTAAGATGTTATCAACGTTTCTAGCCTCGTCTCATCTCGTGGAACCAGTTTCCGAGATTGCTGGATCGGCGAGTAGATCGTCGGATCTTTTAAGAAATCCGATATTCGAATACCCGTGAGTCAAAGCGGCCGATTATGTAAATGTTCGGGAGAAACTACCCGATGTACTTTCTAATTTCTCAGAAAATGCTTCTCTCCTGCTCGTGGCTGCCAAAAAATATCAAAGACCTTCGACTTTGAACGCTATCAAAGTCCCGTAAATTCTTCCGCTCGGTTGCTACGGATCCGACGCTATTACGAAACCAAAGATCGTTCAATTTCGCCATTTTTATGTCTCGAGTAATAACGCGAATTACGAAAATTTAAGTTTTAACCGCGGTAACATTGCACCGGAAACCTAACCTCAGCCGAAGATCGTTTCAGTCTACGATACTTACGCTCGGTGTAATGGCGCGAAATACGAAAATTTCAGAAACAACGGGAACCTAAATTTTAATACGATAGAATTACACCGGAAACCTAACCTCTACCGAGGATCGTTTTACTCCATGCTACTTACGCTCAGTGTAACGGCGCGAAATACAAAAATTTCAGAAGTAACGGGAACCTAAATTTTAATACGATGGAATTACACCGGAAACCTAACCTCAACCGAAGATCGTTTCACCCCACGATACTTACGCTCAGTTTAACGGCGCGAAATACGAAAATTTCAAAAGTAACGGGAACCTAAATTTTAATGCGATAGAATTACACCGGAAACCTAACCTCTAGGAATAATCGTTCCATTCTACGATACATTAGGCCCACAATAAAGGCGCGAAATTCGAAAATTCGGAAGTTACGAAAACCTACGTGTTGAAGGAATAAAATTGTACCGGAAACCTAACCTCAATCAAAGATCGGTCGACTCCACGGTACTCACGTCTAGTGTAAAGGCGCGAAATACGAAAACTCGGAAGCAACGAAAATCAAAGTTTCAACGCGGTAAAATTGCACCGAAACTCGGGTAACCCCAACGGAACCTAACCTAAATCGAAACATATTCGGTCTATTCGGTTGGCCGATTCTCAAGTCTGCAGTAAAAACGTGAAGTACGAAATGGAGTTCTCGGAATACGAAAATCTCGGAAGTAACGAGCACGTGAATCTGACCGCGATAAAGTAGCATCGCAGGAACTTTTACTTTTACCTTTCGCCGTGACGAGCGGAGAGAACGCGCGGCCTGCAACAATACGTTTTTCCCCGAAATTGTTTTCCACCGTTGCGTTTCCCAACAGAATCACGCAAGAACCTTTCCAACCGTGTTTCTCGCGGCCAGATAAGGCTCGCCGACGCATCCGTGCACTCCGAACTTCTATTCTCTTTCCCACGCGTGCGATTTTCCAGCGGTTTTTTCGCCTACCCGAAGTCGCTGAAGTAAAAGCTGGTTGGCATAACGTGTTGCAACCTCGTGTCGGCACGTTCGCGATCGCGGAACGCGACGTTCTTCCGGTCATTGTCGCCGCGACCCGTTATCGCGTTTCCTTCCGCTTTCTTTCGTCCGGCAAATTCTCCAAATTCAACCCAGATACACGCTTCGTAGATAAACGAGAATTTTCCGAGCCTTTTCACGCCAACAACTATCGCGTTCATCACGAAATAAAGGAAATTCTGCGGACGTATTTCACCCATCCCGATATTTCAAAATACGTTCCACTTCTTATCTATGCACCACTCCCACTGTCAATTCATCAATTTTTACAGTACCTAGAATTATTTCACGATTATCCGCTTTCCCCGTAAAATAAAATAAAAATTCTCCCATCTTTCCTACTTTGCAAATTTGCTTGATAAGATACTTCGCTTCCGCACTTATTCATTCATTCATTTATTCATTCGCGTGAATTTCCTCGTATCGGTTCTCATATTCACGTCGCACAGACGTTCGATGTCTCGAATCCAAATTCATCGCGCGATCTCAGCACGAAGCAGCCGCTCTTTTTCCCTGTCAATTTCGTCCGCGGCCATTTCGATTTCATTCGCGTTGGCTCGGATCGCGGGCGTAGATCGGTCGCGCGCCAACGATCGAGCACAATGTCGATCGCGATCGGAGCCTCCGCGAAAACGACTGTCGGTGTCAGGGTCGATGGACCGCTCCTTTCAAGAGTGATCTCATTCACCATCGAGGAGAGAAGGGGATTATCGCGTTTTCCGTCGTGCCGTGTTGCAATCGGCTTCGACTTATCGTCGTTAATCGCAGGAACGCGGCCAGTCGCGCGATGTGGCAGCGATCGAGCCGCGATCTAGCCGCGATCTAATCGCGATCGACCTTCTCCGTGGCTCGACTCGCGGCCGTTCCCACGAAAATCGTGTAAGAGGAGCGAAATCGGAGCACTCGCGTTCCATCCCCCGTGGCTGTGTGTCGGGGTCGAGGACGCGAGTCGACGCGAATTTATTTCCTCGCTCCATGTTTCGAGTTCGACGTGGTTCGACGGTGGAATCGGTTGGAAATGTTCTCGTTCTACTCTAACAACGCGTGTTCGCTTAGACGAAGGAATCGATTCCTTCGCTACTTTCTTCGTTAGATACCAATGGGATCTATCTCGCAAACGAATACCTCGATAAATAGAGAATCGGACAAGATCGGATGTAAATTTTGAAATAGAAGAAAGTTGAATGTTTGAAACTACCCTGTTAATTGCGCATTTACGTGTTGCAGGTAGCCGGTTCGATAATCGGCAAGGGTGGCCAGAATATCACCAAACTGCGGAGTCAGGTAAGCCGTTGCTTCTTCCGTTTCCATCGTTTCAGTTTCCCTCGATCTTGTTCCCTGTGCCGAGCGTTCGTGTCCGGGGGACAAGACGCGAGAGACAGAAGAAGCCGAGTAAACGATCAGAATGAAAATGAAAAGATGTTTGACGGGAGGAGATCGCGAGAACGAAGCTCGGCGACGAAACATCCGTGGCGGACTGTAACTTTGGGATGTTTAGCTGGTCAAATGGTCGATTTTCTCGACGGGGAATCATCAGCATTTCTCCGATCCTCGTGACTAATCACTCGTGCGAATTTCTAGAGACGACCATGTTATCATTGTCGATCGATCGAGCTTTCCGATTAGCTGGAATGTTAGGGGAGGCTCCGATGAGTGTATTTCCGAAACGTGTGTGCAAACGAGAATCGTGTTAGCTCCGAGGTATATAGCGTTTTCTCTCTCTCTCTCTTACTCTCTCTCTCTCTTTCTCTCTACTCTATCTCTCTCTTTCTCTCTCACTGTCTCTCTCTTTCTCGAGCGTAGCAGCCCTTATTTTACTAGTCGACCTCTAGCAGCCGTATTATCGTTGTTCTTGTTATTATTATTCTTATTATTCTTATCATCGTTATTATTGTATTTCTAGAAAGCTTCGAAACCGTTCCTTTTTACCACATACGACCAGAGATAAAGACGCGGTATATACATATATACATACACACACACGTACGAAATATCTTCATCACGCAAACTCGATTCTCGAACTTGGCTGTTTCCTTCGTCTCCCAGCAATTCGCGTTCGATTTACCGACGGATCGTTTATCCTCCCCGTATATATCCGACCGTCTCTGGAAATCGACTCGTTGCGTCCCGATTTGCGCGCCGATCTCGCTGTCCGAGAAAACGCGCGGGCGTGATCCAGCTTCCGCCGACCCTGAACGATCGATCAAAGATCGAGTAAAGCCTGTTGCACGCGCCTGCCGATCCAGCCCTATCGATTTCGCTTCCAAACGATCGATCGCCGATCGATCCAAACGAATCGGAACGAACAACGTTGCATGGACGCGACAATGTCTTACAATTTTCCATAATTAAGCGAACGCAGCGAACATAACCTATACAGCGAGTATGTTCGCTCGAGTACAATTCGTCAAAGAGAGAAATAAAAGAAAAGAGAAAATAAATTCGCAATGAATCGACGGCAGGATAATTCAGTGGTACGCGAGAGTATTCCATGCCCAACGTCCGATTCCGATCTTTTAATTATCACCCACGATCGAGCACGTAACAGGCATTACGCTCGCGTGTTTCTCGATCGATTTCGTTGCGTAACATCGATTGTTCGCCTGTTTTTGTCCACCGTCCTTGAGACGCCGACGAGACTCACCCTGCACGAACGAAAAAATCGGATGGACACGAAGGCTCGCAGCCTCCTGTCACTCTGCGCGCGACGAAACGAGCAAGCCAGCCCCGGATCGATGATCGGGCACGGATCCGTAGAGACAACGATCGCAAGAGCGTTCGCCACGATCGTTGCAACTTCGAGCTCGCGTTTCGATCCACGATCGCTGCCCGATCGATCGGCGTCGTGCAAAGTCCGAACGCACGATTCGCACGGATCGGACCACGTCACCGTACTCGACAGCGTGCTTCTGTGTGTGTGCGTGCGCGCGAGTGTGTTTTTTCAAATGCAAAGCAGCCAATGCCAACTAGTCAGTTTCACACGATGAAACGCGAAAACGTTGAGAACTCGCGGGACTCAGGGACAAAATAGAGTGGACTCGACGCAGCGAATGCGTTAGGTTAATCGGTTTCCTCGACATGTCGCGCGCGTTCGATTATCCGGCCAACACACCGGACAGAGAAAATGGCGGACGAGCACACGGGGAAACACCGATTCGTTGATACCCCGTTTCCGATTTTTCTCCGACTGTTCGCTCGTCGTCCACCGACTCTCTCCTTTTCTCTCTCTCTCGAATCAGTTTGACTAGTAGTACGGCAAACGCGAAATTAACCAAACCACTCGATCTTGTCCCTGATCGTATATGTATACACAAATGTCGCTGTAAATGCGCGAAGATCGGTGCGTTAAAGCGGCAAATCTGAGTACTCACCGAAATAGTCTGGAAAAAGCCCGAGATGCCAGGACTTTTACCTCCTCTCTATGGCAAATGCTGAGATTTACCGGCAAAATCGAGGATTTTACCGATCTCCGGGCTTTCACGGTGACATGTACGTACGTATATGTACACATAATGGCGCGGGAAGCGGTTCGTTCGCTTTTGAGCTCGCGTGGCCATCGAGTTTCGCAGACGACGCGCACTTGTGCGCGACCCGAAAGGTGGAAGGCCAGGAGGTATATGATCCGAGGAGCGAGAGAAAGAAAAATCTCGCGGGATAATCGCGTTTCGCCGGAAAACATTTTTACCGTCCGCTCGACGCGTGTCCGCCGCTGCTTGCGACCCCTTTGCGGCGAGCACCCTGCAGCGTGTGTCCCTCGTTAAACGAACGAGGGAATCTCATGCTCGAACTGTGCGTCAGCCTGTGCGGCTTCGAACCCGGCTGACGAGGAGTCCGTGGACAGAAAATTCGCCGAGATCGCGTACCAAGGAGAAATATTTGCAAGCGATCGTATCCTCGAGTGGTACGTTCACCCCTGCATTCGGGGGTTGGCAATTTTTCCTTTCCTTTTTCTCTTTTTTCTTTCTTTTCTTTCCTTCATCGTCGTTACTTTTTAAAAGATATATATATATATATAATTTATTTTCAACCGGGGTGAATTAAAACCGAGGTTCGATGGTAGTCGGAAGCGAGATACGCTCGGTTGGGAAGGACGCGATAAGGCGGGACTAGTCTTTGGTCGAAGTTGGGTGTACAAGCGAGGTTGTAGAAGGGGCTAATGAATAATCAGAGAATGTCCCCTGCCGCCTAGGGTCGGATTAAATTCGTCACACGAAACGACTTATCTGCAGTCAAAGGGTTAACACTTGTCACGGACGTGATAAAACAGGCAGACTGGCCGATTCATAATTCGAGCACGTAGTGGCTTACGGAGCTCAAAGGAGGAAGACCCGGAGCGCTTCGCGAAATTGCACGTTAATTATTAAAACTTCCTCTAATTAGCCACGCTTAAGCGACTTCGTTAGCAATTGAAATGCCGCGCGAATCGGCGTCGAGGTTCAGCCGGCGTCAATTAAATGCGGAAAGAGAGAAAGAAGGAAGGGAAAGGGGGTGGAGGAGGGTGGAGCGGCAGTGAATGCCGTTTGCAGAATATTTACAGCAACGTGGAAATAACGGGGTTGATTCGCCGCGAACAATGCGCGGTTGCTTCTTCTCGCGTTTTCCGTCCAAGATCGCGAGACCGGGGTCCGTTGACGGACACTTTCGCGCCGTTTCTCTAATTAATTTCATTGTCCGTGGTCAGCGTGATTAAAACTCTCGCTGGATTGTTCGCCGCGACCCGCGGCGATTCCGTCTCGCGGAATTTACGATACACGGCAGTACCACTCGTCGCACCTTGCAAATATTTCTCCGGATCGATCGCGTGACTCGAAAATACGACGAAATAGAACAGGAAGAACAGGTTAGGGTCGGGGGTGGGTTGCACGAACGACGGATCCGTGCAACCCGTAAAGTAGAACGGAAGGAGACGAGGGGTTAGAAGATTAAGCCGCGAAAATTAATCCAGCCGTGAGAGACGTGATGTCTAACTTGGTTGATGATTTGTGCCCTGGCCCCGCCCCAACCCCGGCGTTGCCCCCCTGGTGTTGCCCTGCCGTTGCCCTGCCGTTGCCCTGCCCGGAACGACGGACCCTGACTCGATCGGCAAATGGACCACCCTACCAACAATCGACAACAACCACCAACCAACCACCAATGAACCAACCACCAACCACCACGGCCCGACAGTACAAAGCCTCAATCATTGTACCCGATTGCCCCGGACCCGAACGGTAATGACCAACACCACTACTTAATGTCTTATTTTTCTTTGTCTCTAATTACAAGAATACCTAAATCACAGCGATACATGGATCGCTGTGCTGTTTTAAAATCGAACCACAGCGACGTTCTCTCTGTTGATGATTCTTTTTCTTTATCTGTCTGTCTGTCTGTCTGTCTGTCTGTCTGTCTGTCTGTCTGTCTGTCTGTCTGTCTGTCTGTCCGTCTGTCTGTCTATCTTCTCTCACGCTCACTTTTTACCTCTCTCTGTCTACTTCTTTCCTCCTTTCTTTCCCTGTACAGCTCTGTCTTCCCACCTTTCTCTGGTACACCGTCTCTCCTGTATACCAGTTTCTCTTTCGTCTTCCTTTTTACCTCCGCCTCGTTTGAATCACCTGTGTCTGTTCGTTCCTTCGTTCGTTCGTTCGTCTCCTCGCCTGTGCATCTCTCAGCCTTGTACGTGTCCTCGACCAGCGTCTCCGACGTCGTTGCGCGATGATTCATCGCCGAGAGCAAAGATCCAAGAGTGCGCGCGAGCTTTCGAACGGGGAACACGCGCGATACCCTGGGCACACGGTGTTCGTGACTGCACCTGCCATCACCTGCGGTTGCATGGTCCCTGTCTCTGTTCCTCCCACCCTCCCGGCCGCTGTCTCTCTTCGTTCCTCCCGTTCGGCTCTCCCATCGCACCGCGTCCCGGATTCTACCACTTCGGCCACCTCTCTTTCTTTGCATACACGCGGTACCCTTCGACGCTTTCGTTGTTGCGACCAACCGAGCGAATCGAAGGTCTATCGAGAGGAGAAGCAGCTCTCCTCGCGCTTGTCGCTTCTCTCTTCGCCTCGCAGCTTCTTTCCGTCTTCCACCTTCTTTCGTTCTCGCTAGGATCACTGCGTGCTAGGTTCTCTGCGTGCTAGGATCACGGCACCCGAGACCGAGTCCGAGTCCGCTTCTTGGCACTCCGAGGCCGTAAAAGACGATCGAACGATCGGTGCGAGTGTGTTTCTCAGCGATCAGGATCAATCGATCTCGACTCGAAAGCTTCCGTCACGCTTTGCCAATAAGTACGCTTTGGAAGGAGACGCGAGGACGCGCGGTGTTTTCGTCTTTCTGCTTTCATCCGACTAGCACGAAGGTAACACGCTCGGTTCGTAACTACACCGACGCGTGTTCGAGACCATCCTTGTTCTTCTCACCTTTCGATCTACACTCCTCTTCCATTTTCTCTGACGCAGACTCTCTCTCTCTCTCTCTCTCTCTCTCTCTCTCTCTTTCTCTCTCTCCACCTGTCTTTCTCTCCGTGTACCTCTCTGATCTGTCTCTGTTTTGTTCGTTTTTGCTCGGGTCGTCTCGCGTGCGCGTGCGAAACACGCCCGATGCCACGAATGCTCGGAAAAGTTACACTTCACGATTTTATTGTCTCGGGGAAATGTGTACACCGTGTTGTGTCTCTTTCTCTCTGTCTCTTCCGTTTCTCTTTCCTTCTCTCTATCTCTTTATACTTCTCTTTTTCTTTCTTTCTCTCTTTATCTCTAATTTTTGTGGCTAACACGGATGCTAATCCGTGGAACGAGGCGGTATATTCTGCCGATTCCACGCTTAACGTCGATATGTCACGCTTACTTTTTAGGTACGCCCCACTGATCAACGCACCACTGACCATCATCGTCCTGGCAGAGATTTGCCGGCGTGATTAACGAAACTATCCGCGAGTCGAAAGTCATTACCGATCTGCTGTGACCGCGTGTCTCGACCTTGGTCGACCCTTTTGTTGCTGGGCTCGCTTTGGGTGCACACTTGGGTGCTGCTTGAAAGCTCCTTAGCCGACCCTCCCCTTAGGTGTAAATTGAATATTCCGTGGGTCATTGTTGGGTGGGATGACGATTAAGATCGGTTACCCGTGTCGAGATCTTATCGCGGATCGCGCAATCTCTCTCTCTCTCTCTCTCTTGCTTCGGGTACTCTCTATCGAACGTGATCAGCAACGAAAGGGTTCGAGATGTGTTACGTTTCTGCTTACCGAGTTTCCACGAGCGCCGCGAAACGCCAGGAAATTTACGAGAATGGTAGACGCGACGAGCATGTTTCAGAAGACCCTGAAACGAAGATTTCGAATAAAGATTTACAGTTTTCAGGCCATGAAATCGATCGACTGCGTATTTTTTTCCCCGGTAATTGCGAGTAATCGAGATATCTCTTTCGTCATTTCCGCGAAAACGTCCCCTATTGACCCTTTTCGTTCGAGAGCCCGTCGCACCGCTGGATTCTAACGAGAATTTATACCCGTACCGGGATGTCACGTGCTACGGCTGTAAATTATTTTTATCGCCGGTTGTAAATATCCAGTGCTTCTTTTAACGCGATTTCTATTTGCAACTGGGATGTTTACCCCGTGTGTATGTTAATCTAACGGCATTTTCAAACGATACTTCCGCGTATTTTTTCACCCCCCTTCGTGTCCCTTTTCATTTTTCCGCGAAAGTTGCAGTAATTTCTTGCTAACTCGCCCGATTTATGCAAAGCAGAACGTAGCGTCGCTTATAATTCACCGTCGTCTCGCCCTGCGATTAGTAGTAGAATTTCGCATCCATAATTTCCGTGGTGACAAGTAATCATTAATTATTTATGATCGAGGAATATTAACGTTGCTTTAAAATGCACATCGACAGCCCCGTGGCACGTAGACCGGCAGAATTATTAACAAGAGCCAGCCCGTGCCTTGCGCGTTTTAGAATGCATACGGGGTCGAATAATTGATTTTATTCCACCATTTCGGCCATTTAATAATCCGCGTAAAATTCGAGGATCACACACGGTGTCGTTGCAAATCGTTACGGACCCACTCGCGTGGCAGGATCCTACGAGTTATCGGAACACGAGGACACAACCATGTCCCGATCAATCGAACGACGTTCGTTTCTACCACTCTCGAAGCTTGCCCCGTTTCTGTAAACACGACCGATTCTGCATATCGCGGGAAGAAAGAAGCAGATCTGAAAATCCAATCGAACCCAATTACCGACCGTCCAGACCCGTGCGCGTTCATTACGGATTAATCAAGCGGGAATATTCGATCTCGAATGGTTCCAAAAGAAAAGGGGAACAGCTCTCTCTGTTCCTTTGTCCCGGTAGGTCCAACAGGTTCCAACGGAAAGACAGGTTAACTCGATTTTTCATTTCATCCGTCGATCGATGCACACGGATCTCATTCTCGGTGGAAATCTCGCGATCAAAGCTTTCCTACTCACAGAACGTAGTTCCTCCATTTCTTTTTGTCCATATTTTTTTTCATTTTTTTTTTTTTTTTTTTTTTTTTTTTTTTTTTT